TTTCTGATGTAGTTATATTATTTAAATACTCTTCATTTCTTATGTCAGTCACAGCCCAAGCCCAGCTATCTGGTCGAATGATCATCAGTAACAAAGTTAGGTAGCTCATTAAAATAAACTTTTATTATTACAGTTACAAGCTTGTCATGAAAACTATGAATTCAAGTCTTAAATTGATACACCTAATTTTGTTTCATTTCATGGTGCTGGGGCTTATGAGGTAAACTCTCTAACACCGAGCTGTACCCCAGGTCCTGGTCTATTTGCTTTATTGTTGTTATTGTTGTTGTCTTTTGAGACAGGGGGTTTCTCTGTGTAGCCCCGGCTGTCCTGGAACTTGATCTGTAGACCAGGCTGGCCTCAGACTCACTGAGGTCCTCCTGCCTGTATATCTGGAATGCTGGGATTAAAGGCATTTGCCACCACTCCCCACACTTTATTATTTTTATAAAATACTTTTGTTTATTCTTTGAGAATGTCATACATAGTAGATACAATGTATTTTGATCATATTCACTTCCCACCCCTATAACATGAATCTCTCCCAACTTCCCCCCCTTAAATAATCCAGGGGCTAGAGAGATGGTTTGGTAATTAAGAGTAAAGAGTATACCCGGAGGTTCACAGCCATCTGTAACTCCAGTCCTAGTGGATCATCTGCCCTCCTTGGTCACCAGGCACAAACATCACATACGTGTGTGTGTGTGTGTGTGTGTGTGCGCGCGCACGCGCGCGCGCATGTGTGTAAGCAAAACACTTATACCTATAAAATAAAAGTAAATGAGTCTTTAAAAACAGAAATGCAGAGTCCAGTTGGTGCTGTCCATGTGCACATAGGGGTGGGACCATCCCCTAGAGTATTGTTAACAATTCACCAGTTTTGCTGGCCAGATCTTGTGCACGTCCTGTGCAGGAAGTCATCGCTGTGAGCTCATGAGTGGTGGCCATGGCATGTCCACAAGGCCACACCGCACAGCTCCCCTCCCCATCCTCCAGCTCTTGCACGATTCCTTCCTCATCTCTCCTGGTGTCTTCCCTGAGCCTTGCCTGTACATAGTGGCGTGGGGTTGTGGTGGTAACAGCTGTACCGTTCTGCGCGGAGCACTCATAGTCAGTTTCTGCACCTTGACTAGTTACGAGTCTCCGCAGTAACTGCTGCCCAGCGTAAAAAGTTTCTCTGACTCAGCATGAGTCTGTGGGTATAAACATAAAGAAACAACTATTTAGAAAGCAGTTTAACAATGTGACCATGTAGCCAAACAACTCTAAACTCCTTGGGGCCTATGACCTTCCCAGCTGGGCTTTTGACCAAGTTTACTGTACCAGACATGAATTCTGTCCTTCGGAGCAGACTTCAAATCTAACCAGAAAGTGGTTGGTTACCCCATAACAGCCATGCCACTCTTGCAACAGTGGGCACATCTTGGCGGGCAGGCTGCTTGCTGTTTCAGCATGCAGCAGCCAGTGGTGGCTAAGCCCATTGATACCCTTTCTTCTCAATAATCAATTGCTTTAAATGTTAGGTCAGCAGCGTGGGAACTTCACAGTTACTAAGGCCTAAAATGTTCCTTTCTCAGGTCTTCATCCTTCCCTCTGTCCCTCACTTCCTATCTTCCTTCATCTACTCAGATGAAGGGGGAGGGACGGGAGACACGGGAGGCAAGGCTCTGAGTCTGAAAGGACCAAACAGAGCTGTCTTGAGTAGAGATGAGAAAGACTGGGGGTACATGAGCTACCTCCTAGCTGCGAGGTTCAAGGCGTTAAGGCTTTTAGCTTGCAGTTGAATAGAAAATTGGGGGGGGGGGTACAGGAGAGGGCTACACAGAACAACACTGACTGGAGGGAGGGGTGGAGCTGGGGGAGAACCAAAAAAAAAAAAAAAAAAAAAAAAAAAAAAAAAACCCAAAGCAAACAAGAGATCAGAGAAAAGGAAGAGGCCCTGGGGTCAGCTGCCACAGAGCAGTGTCTGTTGCTAAGGGGGAGAAGGGGTTTCCAGCAGGGAGGACCCTTGCCAGCAGATTCTCTAGGAGTGGACCCTCACTGTTGAAGGTCATGGATGGCTTTGACAGAAGGTTCTTCCACTGGAGAAGAAGCTCTGCCGGGACATACAGGTGTCCCCTGTTTGTTAGAGAAAGGCACATGACCTGGAGGACCTGAGCTGGCCCAGCAGAAGGTACTGAATGACTTCTCAGCCAGGAACATTTTTGTAGGGCCCAGTGGGCAAGCCATCTTTAGGGTCAGCTTCTAGATTTCTTGGCATAGAGCAGGGCTGGCTGTTCAGTGCCTGTCAGATGAGTGGTTGTCACCAGAAGGTGTCTAAGTGCGGTGATGATGGGTCCCACAAAGGAGCCTCAGCGTAGAGGAAGGGTTGCGACAGCTCAGGGATCAGTTTGTTCTATCTACAGTGAGCATTTCTGCCCTTTAGAAAAGCCACCAGCTGAGCTGGAGAGATGGCTCAGAGATTAAGAGCACTGGCTGTTCTTCCAGAGGTCCTGAGTTCAATTCCTGCAACCACAGGTGGCTCACAATCACCTGTAATGAGATCTGGTGCCCTCTTCTGGCATAATAAATAATTAAACCTTAAAAAGAAAAGAAAAGCCACCAGCCTTTCCTGTAGTCCCTGGAAAATCATGACAGTCTGTGCTAAGATTTGCTCAGAGCCTGTGGCTCTTTCTAGGAATTCACTGGAGGGTGGGTGGTAATTGAATTCCAGTCCTTACGAGGTGCTGCTCCCCAAACCTTGTCAAAAGTTACAAGCTGGTGGGATGGCTCTCTGGTCCTGTTCTTAGTTTGGCTCCCAACAACACAGCTCATAACCACTGATGACTTCACTAGCTTCAGGGAATCTGGTGCCTTCCCACCTCTGTGGGCAGCTCCAAACACTCCCGCATCTCCCCACATACACATAATTAAGAAATTAAAACTCTAAAAAGAGGAAGGCGATGACGATGCTGCAGCCTGGACCAGAGACACAAAATCTTTACCCGCCCCTTTGTCCTTGTAGTTTCCTTCCAAGTTTTATGCTGCCTGGGATGAAGCCCAGGGCTTGAGCACACCTGACACCCATTCCATCCCCCAGCGATGGCTCAGACCTTTAGCTAGAACACACTCATCTAATAGAGCAGACTAGCTGTGGCCAGAGAGGGCTGAGGATCCTCCCCCAAACTCCACACACTGCCAAAATAGGCCCCTATCACCATGCGAGACGTCCTTGGGTCTCTTCATTCCTGGGCATCTGAAGCCGTTGTTCTGACACCTCAGAGCGCATGTGGGGTTCTGTTCTGCATCTTGTCCATGCAGCCAGGGGCTCCTGTCCTGGGTAGCTGTGTCTGCTGATTTAGGTGGGTTCTTCTTTGGGGCTGGGAAGGAGAAGGTTGTGATGATTGCCCTTTCTTTGGTATGTTTGTGCTTTTGTGACAACTGTCTCTGCAGGATGAATTCTTAGGAGTGGAATGTTAAGTCATTTTGAGGCGACTTGCCTTGTCTTGAGTCTGCCTAACTGCTCCATCCCGTTACCTGTCCACCAGCTCTTTCTATACCTGCCACACACAGGCACACTGGCCATCGTCGGTAGGGTTTAAGTGGTGTCATCAAAGCTCCTAAAAGGTGCTTGCTTTTAATTCCTGGACATGTTGCTCGCTAGAGACACTCCTTAGTGACGAGAAGTCCTGGGGTTGGATACCAAGGCCTTGGCTCTGGTAGATATTTTGAGTTTGTTGGACCCTCTCTAGACAGGCACTGGGGAATTTGTCATTGGGTGCAGACATGGTTCTGCCTGCAGCCTGTGGGTGGCACAGTGTGTAAAAAGCTCCATAGCAGTGTCCCCTCACCCTGTGTGTAGAGCTACAGTAGGTTACTTCTCCCTGAGACCTCGATTTCCCATTCTCCCCGGGGGACCCTGAGGAGCTCTGTGCCATCCTCCCTCTTGGGCCTCGGGCATTGTCTGTGGCAAACGCCCCCTCCCAAGAGTGTTTCAAATGAGTTGTAGTGTGAATACGAGGCCTGAACATCAGTTTGGGGGATGGAGCAAGCCATGTGGGAGAGCCAGACTTAACCTGCAGAGATCTCCAGAGCTTTCACCCGAAGCCTCCATGTATGTGGGGCGGTGTGTGTGTGTGTGTGTGTGTGTGTGTGTGTCCTAACAAGCATATCTCTTCGTTCTTAGAGCGGGTCAAGCCCTTCGTGGCTACTTCCATTTTTTGTTCCCTGGGACGTGAGAGCCGGATGGGCACCTCCCAGATTGCCTGACAAGCATTTCCACTCACAGTTCTTCTGCAGAAGGTCCTGGCTCCCCTGCCTCTCAACTCTGCATCAGGTGGAGGGGAAGGCCTTTCCTATTGTGAGTCCTGCCAGGCCTGCTGCAGTGCCTTCCTTAGTGGCTTTGAGACCCAGCGCCTCGGCATTGGGCAGATTGGCAATCCTTGGTTTCCTGCAGGGGAGTTTGCTAGGCAGAGCTGTGAGAGGGAACTGAACGTGATGGTCCATGAGGCCGTGGGCAGTGTTAGACCTCCCGTCCAGCTGGCGTATACATGCCCCTGACCAAGGGCTTCCTGTGGCCTTGTTCTTTAGCCTCTCTCTTCCCTGCGGCCTCGGAACCCCTGGCAGGCAGAGCCTGTCGTTTTTATCCTCCTTAGGTTTTTCCCTCTTCTTTGGTATGTGACAGGGGACTGTATATAGTCTAGGCTGGCCTGGGATTGACTGTGTAACCCAGGATGGCCTCAGACTTGCAGCAATCCCCCTGCCTTAGCCCCCTGAGTATTGGGATGAGACGTGAGTCACCATACCCGGTTTCCTTCCATCCTCTATAAACAAAGGGTCCCAAGTGCAATGCATCTAAAAATACTAAGGTTCTTGTTGCTTCTAAGAGCAGTATCTTACTGTAGAAGAAGCATCCGAAACCTAGGAAGAAAAGAAACTGCAATGTGTCTGTCTCAGAGACTCAAGTTGAGCTTGCACTGAGGGAGTTTCATACCTGACTTACTGTGCTGGCCGTCCCACAGGGAAGTCCCACCTGGCCATTGTGCAGAAGGTGAACAATGAAGGTGAGGGGGACCCCTTCTACGAGGTGCTGGGCTTGGTCACCCTGGAGGACGTCATTGAGGAGATCATCAAGTCTGAGATCCTGGACGAGTCGGACATGTACAGTGAGTTCAGCCCCCTCCACCAGCCCTGAACCCCACTGATGTCTGAAATTTGCTCTCCCTAGGTAGAAAGACTTCCGTGCAGGGGTGCAGGGGTGCAGGGTATGGAGGTCCTGGCCCCCTGGGCCACTGGCTGTGGTGAGGTTGGGGGGACAGGGGACACAGTGTTTCCTCTTCCTCCCCTGTGGAGAGAGGCCCGGGGAGTAGGGGTCAGGTTCCAGTCCTCGGGGGTCAGTGATCCCAATTCCAGACCTTCCCTCGTACAGCTGACAATCGGACCCGGAAGCGGGTATCTATGAAGAACAAACGTGACTTCTCTGCCTTCAAGGACGCTGACAATGAACTTAAAGTAAAAATCTCACCCCAGCTGCTTCTGGCTGCTCATCGATTCCTGGCCACAGGTGAGCGTGTGGGAAGCATCTTCCCATTCGTGGAAATACAGTCACAAAGGGAGTAACCCTGGGCCTCTGGCCCCTCCTCCCATGGAGAGAGCGGGCAGGAGGGCTGGAACTTACTCACTTTGGAAGGATCCGGGTATCACTCCCTCTTCCTTCTTTGGTCTGTTCACCATGACTGGTTGTCACAGACTTCTAGGAATAACCTAGAAGTTTACAGAGCAAGCACTGAGACACCCAAGGGTGTACCACCCCTGGCCTGCTCAGCCCTCCAGCTTCTCCCCATGCAGGGGGAGACCTTGTGCCCACAGGTCAGCCTGCAGAGCTGACTTGTACATGGGTGGCATCTCTCTAACTCAAAGCACCCTTCGGGACCTGGGCGACCGTTCAGAACAACACTGCCCCCCATGTTCTCACCCTCACCCCAGCTCCCTCTCCTTTGAGTTTTCTCGATAGTTGTTGGTGCAGAGAATGGTAATTGTAGGAACCTATCATTAACACTCACAAGGGAAGAGTGTGTCTAAATGCTGTGTTATCTCGCTTGAACACGAGACCACCCCATCTTAACGATGAGAAAACCAAGACACATAAGTTTAGTTATCTGCCCAAGGTCGTGACTGTTGGTACTGGAGCCACATAGGCTGACAGATTCCAGCCCAGCAGCAGACACCAAGTGTGACCCTTCCCAGGAGAGTGCAGCCTGCAGCAGTGGCCCAAGCAGGGAGGAAGCCATCTTAGTACAGAGTGACCATGGTCACGTCCATGTTGACACAGCGAGCGGTGAGCCAGCCCCGGGGCCACCCGGTCCTAGCCCCATGTGAAGTCTCCTCTCTCTCCTGCAGAGGTATCCCAGTTCAGCCCCTCTCTGATATCAGAGAAAATCCTGCTCCGCCTGCTCAAATACCCAGACGTCATTCAGGAACTCAAGTTTGATGAGCACAATAAGTACTACATTCACCATTACCTGTACACCCGGAACAAGCCGGCCGACTACTTCATCCTCGTCCTGCAGGTGAGCCTCTGACGCTGGGCCTTGGTGCGCAGGCCGCTGTCCCCTCCAGCCTGCATGTCTGCCTTCCAGTGCGCCTCTAGAGAGTGTGCAGCCTCCCCTTGAGCCCGGGCCCTGGGTTGCCCACAGTCTCCCCGAGAGGCCGCTCTGTGCCCACAGGCCTTGAATGGTGCTGGGCTGGGGGGGGGGGGGACGGCGTCCATGCCTCCCTGTTTTGTAGAGATACCCAGGTTGACGCCTCTCTTATTGCCACACAGGCCTCAAACCACCCCCTCCGAGCCGTGCTGTAATCTTAACCCCATGTTCTTTCAGGGGAAGGTGGAAGTAGAGGCCGGAAAGGAAAACATGAGGTTTGAGACGGGAGCCTTCTCGTACTATGGGACCCTGGCCCTGTCCTCGGCAGCCTCGGGTGAGTGTGACCCACTGACCCTGGTAGATTCCCCTGTAGGGGAAAGGATGGAAGCAGTCTTTGGTGCCTAGAGCAGCTCTGCCAACGGGCGGCAGCTCTTAGAGAACTCCTGTGCTACACTACACTTGCCAGTCTCCTGTGGCGAGAAGCTCCCAAAGCACAGGCCCAGGGCATCCATGAATGTCAACACAGCATGACCACTGCGTCCTCTGCCCATGCATTAGGACGAGCCAGGGTATGACAGGCTTCCGGGGACAAGATTGATCGGGGGCAAACAAGCAGGGCCACGGAGCAGGTGAACCTGGCCTGAACTTGGCAGGTTTAAGGAAGACTGGCCTGTCGTTATGGAAAGCACCCTGTCTTCTTGCTTAGGGAAGTTTTGATAGTTTGGAATGCTCTTGCTTGGTAACTGGCCTAGAAACCTTTTTCCTCCTGCCTTAGCTTTCTGACACTGAGATTCTAGGTGTTTACCCGCCTGATGTTGGGGCGCTCTTGACTCCTCCCCGTGCTGATGCTCAGTCATCTGACCCTTGGTCATCACATCTGGAGTGGCTGGAAGGCAGGGGAGACGGCTCTGGGTGCACGCCCTCTGCACAGGGCTCTCTGGTCTGCCCCGTGCCCACTCACAGCTTTCCATGCTTGAGGTAGCCTGGTCCATCACATCTGCCTCTCCGTCCTGTTGCTGTGGCTTGTGACCCTTCTCCGGCCACTGACTTCCTCCTCTGTTACTCCAGCTCCTCCACTGCAGGCTGGGTGTTCCCCTGGCAAGCTGAACTCCCTGCTCTCCTGGCTCCCAGGTAACATGGCATGCTAGAGAAGTGCACAGTGCCACCTGTTGCTAGAACTTTGTACTGCAGCTGCACTAAAGACTCCCACGGGAACCTAAGGACTCCTAGGCACACTTAGGGTCCAGCCTGACTCTTAATGGGTTTTGTCTCTGCATGGGTGGGCCCTTCAGTCCTTGAGAAAGCATCACCCAACAGACACACAGACATGCAATGCTCAGATGACGGACTTGGGAGTGGAGCATCGTTCCTGAGCAAGCCCAGTGCGCATGTTCAGCCTGTGTCTGCTGTAGCCTGGATGAGACAAAGCCCAGCTGGCCGGGATGGCATATCATCCCATCAGCTTTCTTAGACCTCCTCATCCTTCTTCATAGCCTAATGGTGGGGACCACAGCACGGCAGGGTGAGGCAGAGTCCCAGAGTAAGGCCACACCTTTGCATCTCTGTCTTCTGCTCTGAGCCAAACTCCACCCATGTCCTGTTCTTCTCATTTGGAAACTGGAACTAACACTGTGCCCACTTGAGACGTTTGGGGTGACTGATGCAGAGCGTGCAGAGCGTGCAGAGAGCCCGGCTTCCATTATTTCTGTTTTCTCTGTAACTACTAAAATGCGGTATTCCCACCAGCAAGTGTGTAGGAGAAAACCAAATGCCAGGTGCTGCTTCTGGAGTTGGCCTCTCCCAGGAATCATGGGAGCAGTTAGAGACATCTAGCTGGAAGGTCCCCCACATGCAACGTGGGAAGGCCCCAGTCAGCCTTCAGATTCTGGCCAAGCTGGTGAGCCCTGCACAGGTCAAGACCAACTCAGGCCCTGGCAGCCCCAGAACTTGACAAACCAGTCAGTTAGTTCTGGTTTTATATTTTTATAATTAGTTTTTGTTGTTTTTTTTTGGGGGGGTAGGGTTTCTCTGTGTAGCTCTGGCTGTCCTGGAACTTACTCTGTAGACCAGGCTGGCCTCAGACTCAGAGATCCGCCTGCCTTTGCCTCCCAAGTGCTGGGATTAAAGGTGTCCACACCTGGATTATAATTAGCTTAGCACTGCCCTCACCCCTGTGTGTGTGTGTGTGTGTGTGTGTGTGTGTGTGTGTGTGTCTTTATGGGTATGGAACCCAAATCTTCACACATGCTAGACAAGTACTCTACCATTGAGCTAAATACCCAGCTGCTCAACCTTTACTTTTTTGAGTGTGACTTTTCTCTTAGTGTGTCACAATACATGCTATTCTGACCCGGTTTAAAAATAATAAATAAAATGGTACCAGCTGTCACTTCCCGGCTTTGGCCTCCCTGCCATCTTCTCCTGTTCTTAGTCATGATGGTCAGGAGTTTATACATCCATAGTTTGAACCCTGGTGTTTGTATTCAAAATGGATGCGTTTCCATAAATCCCCTTACCAGGGCAGGCAGGAGGACTCAGAAGGGAAAAGCTCTTGCCTCACAGCCCTGGCAACTTGAGTTCAGTCCCCAGAATCCATGGTGGAACGAGACACCAACTCCTGAAAGTTGTCCTCTTAACCTCCATGAGAGCCGTAGTATTCATGTACCCACATGCATGTTCATTCATGCCCATTACACACACACAAATTAAAAGAGGAAACTAAAATAAAGGGGCTGGAGGCCTGGCTGCTCTTCCAGAGGTCCTGAGTTCAATTCCCAGCAACCACATGGTGGCCCACAGCCATCCGTAATGAGATCTGGCGCCCTCTTCTGGCAAGCGTGTGTATATGCAGACAGAGCTCTCAGGTAAAGTACAGGGGCTGGAGAGATGCTCAGTGGTTCAGAGTATGAGCTGCTCTTGTGGAGTGCTGACTTCCAGTTCCCAGCTCCCACATGGCACCTGACAACGCTCATAATTTATTTTTCCTTTCTTTTTAACCCTGAATCTGACTCTGTAGCCTAGAATGGCTTGGAACCTACGGGCTAGCCCAGGCTGGTTATGCATGCCAGGTGTGACTGGGAACTTTAAATTCAGCTCTCAGGACGACTCAACAATAGAGTTTTTGGCTTGCATGGTCAAGGCCCTGGGTTTGGTCCCCAGTAAACAAGTCAGCTCTTGTTGTGTTAGAAAACATCGACTAAAGAGCATCTTGTCATTCAAATAATTAAGAGGAAATCTTTTTTTTTTTAATTTTACTACAATGTGTGTGTGTGTGTGTGTGTGTGTGTGTGTGTGTGTGTGTGTGTAACCAAGTGTGCACAACCAAGTGTGTACATAGGAAGTCAGAGAACCACTGTTGGGAGTCAGTTCCTACCTTCCACTATGTAGGTCCAGGGGATTGAACTCAGTGTCTTTACCTGCTGAGCTATTTTGCTGGCCTTCCCTTCCTGGTCATGGTCTCCGAGTGGCCCTCTGTTTTCTGGGTTTAGTATGGTCCTAGTTTTCTGTAAGTGGCAGTCACAGCCCACGCAGGCACCTGCATAGTCTGGCTTGGCTGAAGGCTGTGTGGGTCCTCTGAGTCACTGCTTTCTTTCTGTCTCCACGTGTTGTAGCTAAATTAGTGTCTAGTAACGTAACAGCTACGGAAAGCAAACCCACTCAGCCCACTGCCGGCTGCTGAGTTAGCGTCTCTGTGCATTTCAGGGTTAGGAGTATTCTCATAACTCAGGGGCTCATAACTCAGAGCCAAGCCTGGCTGATAGCCTCGTCTCTTCTCTCTTCCTCTGGAATCCAGTCCCTACCTTGCCTGGGGAGGGGGGACTGCGCTGCCTTTGGAACCTCTGGCTTTCTGGGACAAGGTCCTGTTACCCCATTACCCTGCCAGGGTTGGAGTTACTAGTACAGCACACCTTTGACCCCCTTAAGGACCCTGTAGGCTATGACAGGTACCATGTTGCCAGCAGGGTAGGGTTCATAGTGAGAAAGCAAGGCATATGTCTTTCCCTTTTCTTGAGACAGGGTTTCACCGTGTAGCCAAGGCTAGTCTAAAAGTCACCATCTTTTGCACCTTGGCCTCCTGAGTTCTGGGATTACAGGCATGTGGCCCTCAGTCAGGTCAGCCTGTGTGTGTTCTTCCTTTTAATATATGTGTTTTGTCTTAAAACACACAGTTTAAAGCAGGTATGGTGCTGTGTGCCTATAATCCCAAGCCATGGGAGGTAGGTAGGAGGGAGGGCCGAGTTGGAGGCCAACTTGGGCTATGTAATGAGCCTTACATTTTTATCTGTTGGTGTCTGCATGAATATATATGCATGTGTGGGTGTGTGTGCCTCTGTGTGGAGGCCGGAAGAACTTTCTAGATTCCTTGTCTATTGAATTACCGATGCCGACTGGAAACCAGGCTTCTGAGGCATTGGCGCTGGGGTGTCCACGCCAGACACCCTTATGGTTACACAACAAGCTTTCTTCACTGAGCCTTCTCTCCCGTTCCCCCGTTTTTTTGTTTTAAGTGTTTCTCACTTGACATAAGTCGGTGTTAGAACAGGATGGTGGTTTGACTGTCACTCGAGGGAAATCATTGTATTATATTGACTAATGAGGGGTTTTGTAGCCATAAATGTCTTGGTTTTCATTTTCTGGTTGGTTTGTTTGGGTGACATTCTTAACACTTACATGTGACACTTTTCAGCACACTAACTTGCTGACCGTGTGCAGTTAGATTTTCTGTGTGTGTGTGTGTGTACTTCTGTTTGCCCCTGAGAGCTGTGACTTATTCCTGGTGGGGACATGGTTGGTGTCCCTAACATCCATGGCTGAGGTCAGGCGAGGAGCTGGAGTGGGCACTAGGGCAGGCTCTATGCTGATTATCTGTTGTCCCCACAGACCGGTCCCCAGCCCACCCAACTCCACTCAGCCGCTCGGCCTCCCTCAGTTACCCGGACCGCCATGCAGACATGCCGTCCTCTTCATCCCTGGCAGGCAGCAACCAGTTTGGCAGCTGCATTCTGGGCCAGTATGTGTCTGACTTCAGTGTCCGCGCGCTGACAGACCTGCAGTACATTAAGGTAAGCGCCTTCCAGTTTCCTGCGTCCTCTCCTGCCCTGTGCAGTTAGAGCTCTGTTCTGGAGCCAGCACGGGCATGAACACTTTTGTTTTCTTTAAAAGAAAAAAACAAATTAGGTGTCACTCATTGTATGTAGTGCTGGAGTTCTCTCCAGGCCATCATAGATGCCAGGCCGACAGTGTGCCATTGAGCTGTGTTCCTAGCCCCCTCCCCCGCCCCCTTATATTTTTTGCTTTCTTGAGACATGTCTGACTCTTTAGTCCAGGCTAGCCCCAAGCTCTGAAAACCTCCTGCCGCAGCCTCCTGGCATTACAGACATGTGCCACCGTGCCCGGCCTAGGACAATTGATGGCGGTGTGAGGCATGTGAGCGACCATCCGTTTGCATAGGTCAATGGACAAAGAGCAGAGCTCCCTGTCTCCACTTTGATGTGGGTTCTGGGAATTAAACTCAGGTCCCCAAGCTTCCTTCGGTGCCAGGGGCCCTTCCCCTGTGGACCCCCTCGGTGGCCCCCCAGAACACTTTTTCTTCCAACTCTCTTTGAAGGCCTCACCTGGCCACACCTCTCCTGGGCCAGTCTAGGCGGATCTTCACATCTGAGCCCTGCATCCCACACCCATCCTTGTCTTTGTCTCTCTCCTCCTCCCTCTGCAGATCACGAGGCAGCAGTACCAGAATGGGCTGCTGGCTTCCCGCATGGACAACAGCCCTCAGCTTCCTTTGGATGGCTGTGCCACCTGCTCAGAGAACTTTACCGAGAAGTCTGAGCTGCCTGTGGTGGATGAGACCACAACGCTTCTCAATGAACGCAACTCCTTGCTGCACAGAGCCTCCCAGGAGGGCGCCGTCTGACAGGAGGGCCCGGGGGCTCCTGCCCACCCTGCAGGGGTCTCCCCAGTGGGCCCATTTGACGTCAGGGAGCCTGTTAGGCTAGAAGGGGTGCAGGTAGATATCCTGCATGACTGAGCAACTAGACATCCCTCCCAGGGGATCTGGCTGTGGATGGGGACCTCTCAACAGCTCTGACATGATGCCTGCCCAGTTAGTGAGCGAAGGCTGTTTATGTCTTTTTTTTTTTTTTTTTTTAAACACTGAGAGAATTTTTAAGCTAGGCTCATTGCTCCTCTTTTTAAATATCATTTTGGGAAGGGAATACAGGGTTAAGGAACTTTATGTAAAAAAAAAAAAAAATTTTTTTTTTTCAAGAAACCCTCCAAACTCTAAAGGGGGAGGAGGGTTCCTCATCCCAGGAAGCAACAGCCATAATGTGTTCCTGGCCAAGGCTCGTGGCCTATGTCTGTCGACCTAGGAGCCACTTTTCTGCAGCTGTGGGGATCTGGAGGCCACAGAAGGGGACGAGGAAGCTGGGACCCAAATGATCCTGGCGTCAACCTGCTAGGAAACAGGCACCAAGGTCACTGAGGCCGATCCGGGACATGACCCCGGCACCAGAGAGGACTACATCTACTCCTGTCAACCACCGGACCCAGTGACTGCCCAGCACTCTGTCCATGGGCTCTCCTGCTGAGTCGGGACTTGGCCAAGAACAACCCCCGACTCTCCCCTCCCTCTTTGGACAGCTTTATCCTGTAAGGGTCTGGCTCCAAGAGTTAGACATGGTCTTTGGCTCCACAGCCCCTTCCCTGCTTCTTGGCCATGCCCTCAGTTTTACCAAAGGTTCCGTCTTGGAGGGGACAGCACCTCCGTTAGAGGTGACTTGCCGGATACCCCTTTTGTGACTGTAGGTACCCGCCCACCCCTGCAAGGGCCAGGGTTCAGCAGCCCGCCTGCCAAGACTTCTTCCCTCCCTCCCCATTCCTATCTCTATACGCATCCCTCTAGGAACTGGGGACAGGACACGTTGAAAGCCACCCAAGCTGGGCCACCGCACCCTTGCCTGTGTAGCTGGCTGAGGACCGCCTGGCATCATTTGCCCACTTCAGTACCCCAGGACAGGAGGGTCTCACCTGATGTCGCGCAGTGGCTAGCCCAGTCCCCTTATACCTGAAGATCTCCCTAGTGAGAAGACAAAGTTAAGCTCGGGCTGACACTTGGTTCTGCTGAGCAATGCACACCATGTGGAATCCTAACCCCAGTTGCCACCCTGGGAAAGCTGAGTGGAATCAGGCCATGGGACAGAGCGTCGCGCCTCTGTTGTTAGGAGTCCTAACCAAGGGCCACATCTTCCCTTTTGTTGGGATATAAGATCCAGGCAAGTAAAACCGCAGGCCTGTTGTGTAATATTTATCCATTCCTTTCCTCTGCCGGTGAGTCCTGTCACCCCGAGTACTCTGCTGTCTGTGTACCCAGAGAAGCCTAACTCCTAGGGCCAGCGTGTCTTGTCCCTCGGCCACTCTGAGGTCCTCTCCACTCACAGAATTTACTCCTAGAAGCCTGGCGAAGAAAATGGTTTTCAACCATAAGGGAAAAAAAACCAGAAAAAAGAAAAAAAAAAAAAGACGCCAGACCTCATGTCCTTAAGAAACCCTTAGTTTTCTGTAGGTGCTGCTTGCTCCCACGTCCCTAGAGGAGCTGCCCCGCAGTGTTCCTGCGAGACAGCCAGGTAGAGCGAAACCACTTGGTGGGTGTGAGGTAAAAGCAGCAGGTGCATCCACTTCCACTTGCCTCTCTGCATACACAATCACCACCGACAGACAGGTCCCTCCCCTCCCCTCCCCTCCCCTCCCTCATTTAGAATCACTTCTTGCAGAGGGTCATAATTATTTCCAAATATTACTGGTCCCCTGACTTCCTCCTCCTCCTAGTGCTTTTTTTTTTTTTTTTTTTTTTTTACTTCCTCTTCCAAACTCTGGTTCCTGGGCTGAGCCATACCCTGGAACTGGCCTAGTCTGTATGTCTTCCCAGGTAAGGGGGACTTCACAGGTGGCATCCAAGTGGGTAGGCAAGTCACAGTCGCCGTGGCAAATGACTCCTATTTATTTTGCATTAAGATTTTAATGTGTATATTTCTGTGATTTATTTTGGCATTGTTATGAGTTTGACTCTCGGGGAGTTTTGTTGTTATGACTCTTGTGTGTTTTGTCACAAAACAATGATAATATTTGCTAAACAATATATGGAATTTATTTTTGATTGGTAATAAAAATGAAATGCATATAAATCTTGGCATATAACTCGGTGTGTTGCTATCACTTGTGACAGGACAAGGGCGATGAAATATCCTGGAACTGTTTGGAAGCAAAGTGCGAGCAGAAGTGTGATTTACAAAATATTATAATCAAGGCAGTTGTCACAGGAGTCGTGGAGTGGTAGCTGCTGGCAGAAGCCGATGTCACAGGATTCTGTTTGGGGGTGCTGGGATGGGGCAGTTGGAATGAGCAAATTACCTTTCTTCCCTCAATGGGAGCGGAGGACTGTTTGGGATTCCGTTGTTTTATAACACGCAGAGGCTACTCTGTGTGTGCTTTTGGGGTTGGGGTGTGCACCTCTGAGATAGCTGACTGAGGGTTTCCTGGCTGTATCACTCAGAACTGTAGCTGTGGAATGGAACCCTTTTGTGGCAAGCACACATCCTGAAAACTAACGAGTACTGTGAGTGCTGTGCTCCAAGGCCAGAGAATCAAGCAAGCAAAGCTCAACGTTAAACTGGAGGGTGTTTCTATTTGTGCTTGAGCGAGGGTCTCGCTATGGAGCGTCAAATAGGTGCTGACCCCTTCCTTGCCTTCACCTCCTGAATGCCAGGAGTGCAAGTGTGTCCCACCATGCCTGTGTTGGTTTGGTTTGAGACAAGGTTTCTCAAGACAAATTATGCGTCTAGCTGTCCTGGAACTTGCCATGTAGACCAGGCTGGCCTCAAACTCGCAGAGATCCACCTACCTCTGCCTCCTGAGTGCTAAGGTTAAAGGAGTGTGCCAGCATGCCTAGCTCTGGTTTTGAGACAAGAGCTTGCTACGTAACCAGCAAATGGCTGGTTGCCATTTGCCTTCCTGTCTTCCATTCCCTGGTTGAACTGAACTTGCCCAGCACGCGCGGGAGGCTGAGGCAGTAAGGTCATGAATTTGAGGCTAGCCTAGGCTGTACAGGGAGACCCTGTCAGTGGCTGGGGTGGGGGTTGAGAGGCAGAAAAGCACTAGGGTAGGCCACAAAGAGAACGTCCCAGATATGTGTACACAGGAACGGGAAGAAATGACACCCATCTGTCTGTCCCAAAGGTGTGTTTGGTGCCCAGCTCCTTCCACACATCAGCTGCTACCAAGCCCTCAGTGAGTGCCAGGAGGAAGAACCCCGCAAGGGGTCACTATTCAAGGAAGGCCTTTGCACTTGCTGTTACTGCCACCTAAGACACGTCTTCCCAGTCTGCAAGGCTTGCCCCTCATTTCACTTCAACCCCTGTTCAAACATCACCTCCTTAGGGAAGCCTTCCTTGATCACCTTCATTTCAGATAGCATCTCCTCCATGAGTTTCCTTCTCTCCTTACAGTAACACTTTCTGCTGGGTCTTAAGGATACAGTGTTTTCTGTTGTCCCAGCACTGAGTTCCCAGCACCACGCGCGGCTGGGGGCTTTTGTCCCTGCCAGAGTCCCAGCCTTTAGAAAGGTGCCGCGTGCACCCAGTGTGTGTGCACCCAGTGTACGGAATGCTTGTCATGAGCAAATGAAAGAAATGCAGAAGCTAGCCAGGGAGGGAATGCCCTATAGCTGCGAGGGTTTTGCTTTGCTGCATCCTTTTATTTTAAATTTTGTGGGTGGGTGGGTGTGCACCATACAGCACGCGTGGAGGTCAAAGGGCACCTTTGTGGAGCTGGTTCTCTCTTCCCCTTACATGGGTTTCAGGGATTGAACTCAGGTCACGAGGTCTGTGCAGTAGGTGCCTTTGTCCACTGAGCCATCTCACTGGCCCATGCTCTGTTTAGTACAGGGTTTCTTTGTAGCCCCGGCTGGCCTTCAAATTTTATTCACTCTGCCTCTGCTTTCTGAGTGCTGGGATTATAGTAGTTATGAGTTTGGGGTTTTTGTTTTGTTCTGTGTAGTTATGAGTTTTAAATAATCATGAGTAAATCTTTAGCCAGGCAGGTGGACAGCCAGGGCTACACAGACAAACCTTATCTTGAAAAAAAAAAAAATTCTGATTAAAAAGTGGAAATGAATGCTCTGACCTAAATGACCACTAAGGAAAATGTCCCAGGGAGGGCCGGTAAGAAACCTAAATAAAGATCGGGTGTTTCCATTGAGGGTGTGATGGGGCAGAGATGATGAGCTGGAGGTGGGTGAGGCAAGGGACAGCAGAGACGAACAAGAACCCTCTAGACTGAAACCCACATTAGCAGCCTGGATTCCGCAGCCTGGACACTGGGAACCTGTCGTTTCCCAGATTTTACTCAATAATAAAAAGTAGAGAGGGGAAGAGGTCACTTGAGCCCCTCCCTTCCTCCCCTGTAGATCGTTCCTTGCCTGCTGACGGCTTCGGACATGTACACCATCTGTCCCGTCTTGGTGTCAGTGTTTTATCCTGACTTGGAGACACAGTGAAAACTAAAGGTTGAGTCCACTCTAGAGCTCTGGAGCTTTTTCCTTTTCCTCAAAGGCAGCCAGACAGTTTCGATGCAAAAGAACAGCCACGTCTTAATTGCTTCTGCTGGTAGCTTGTTCTGTCATCTGCAAAGAGGCAGACTTTCTTGGAGCATGCAGCACTGCTCAGGTAATAAAAACACAGAGAGAAGCAGAGATGTGATTCGCCAGCCACACAGAAGAGTCACTGCTAACTTGGTAAAGACTTGGGTGTGTGTGCGTGTATGAGCCATGTGTTTGTGAAGCCATGAGACGGCGTGGGATTCCCTGGAGCTAGAAGTGCAGGTAAGATATCTGATATGGGGACTGGGGACCGCATCAGGGTCCTCTGGGAGAGCAGCGTATACTCTTGACCAGGGCGCCACCTCTCCAGCTCCTTGTTTTGACTTTTAGACGTATAGCTGGATAGGCGTTTTCCCCAAGTTATTTTCCCATTGATCTTTTCTCATGGGCCCACTTTGGCACATTATCTTCTATACCATATTGCACATACTTTTTTAGGCTGGTATTTTCAGGGTAGTGAGTTATAGGTCTACAGAAGCCTTTATAAATATCACTTAAGGGGCTGGAGTGACGGCTCAGTGTTTAAGAGCACTCACTGCTCTTGCAGGAAACCTGGATCCCAGAACCCACATGGTTGCTCACAAACGCCAGTAACTCCAGTTCCAGGGTATGCAGTGCCCCCTTCTGGCTACTTTGAGCACCTACACACGCAGTGCATATACACACACTTGAACCCACACATACACACAGAACAAAACACATCTTTTAAAATATTATTTAAAATTGACATGTATAACAAGTCAATTTGGAGTTTGGAGAAAACAAAAAAACCATGTACGTGGGTACCTACAGAGAACTTAGTCACATAACCGCCACATGCAAAGGGTGAACAACGCTCCACCTGATTTATGTAAGGACCGTCTACCCGAGGGATCAGGATGAACTGCGGCTGTGAAGCTAGCAAATAAGAAAATTCCTGACAGCTGCCACCACCTTGCGTGGCTGGCCCACCTGGATGTCAAAGTCTGTGAGCACCGCTTTCCCTTGTAAGAGGGATTAAATGAAGCAGCTGTGAGGATCCCGGGAAACTGGTTTGGAAGGGTTTCAGCACTTAACTACGGGGGTCTCCCTGTCGGGGCAACTTCCTGTCAAGCAAGTGTGTGTCTTCTTGATGTCCACAGAGCACGACGCAAAGCAAGAACACTTTCAAGAAACCTTAGTTCAAAACAAAACAAAACAAAAAACTACCCCACAGGCCTAGAGAGCTAGCTGGCTCAGATGTGAAGAACGCATGCTGAGGACAGTTCAATCCCCGCACCAGCTCACGCCAGCTGGCGACTGCAGCCCCAGGGGCATGCGACGCCCTCTTGTGGCCTCCCCGCGCGCGGCACTCGGATGCAAAACCCCACACGCCTCCACATAACTAGAAAATAAATGCTATAAACAAAGGACTCCGGGCTGCCCTGCGCCCAGTCGCTGCTTCTCTCTCAGTTCTAATCCTTGTAGGGCCCTTCCCTCCTTCCCACACTGGCGTCCAGACCCCGCGGGTCGTCCCCGGAGCGCGCCTGGAACCCTCCCCCGCCAGCCGAGCCCCACGCCCCCCGGCCCGGCCCGCCCCGCGCCGCTTGTTTACTCCCCGGCGCAGCCTAGTCCTCCCCGGAGCCCGCCCCCGCCGGCCGCCTATTGGTCGACGTGCCGCGGAGGCCGGCGCCGATTGGCCTGAGCCGCAGAGGCGCGGGTGAGTGGGGTAGGCTGCGCCGGAGGCCCAGAAGGGGTAGCAGGCCATGGCGGCGGCGGCGGCGGCGGTGGCGGGTTGGCTGGGCTGGGCGCTCGCCGCGCTCTGTCTGGGCAGCAGCGCGGGGGAGGCGGCGCCGGGAGCGGGACTGCTGGGCTTCTGCACGGAGGAGGACAGCGCGCCGGGCGCAGGCTCAGTGCGCGGGAGGGCAGGGCCGGAGGCCACCTTCTGCTTGCGGCTCTTCTGCCCGGGCTTGGCCAACAGCTCCTGGACCTGGGTGGCCCCGGAGGGCGCAGGCTGCGCCGAGGGCGGCGGGGCCGCGGAGCCCGAGGAGGCGGCCGGCCGCACGGGCGAGTGGCGCGCGCTGCTGCGCCTGCGCGCCGAGGCCGGCCGCCCGCGCTCCGCGCTGCTGGCGGTGCGCGTGGAGCCGGGTGGCGGGGCGGCCGAGGAGGGGGCGCCGCCCTGGGCGCTGGGGCTGACGGCGGCCGGGCTGCTGGCGCTGGCGGCCGTGGCGCGCGGCCTGCAGCTGAGCGCGCTGGCGCTGGCGCCGGCCGAGGTGCAGGTGCTGCGCGAGAGCGGCTCGGAGGCGGAGCGCGCGGCTGCGCGGCGCCTCGAACCCGCGCGCCGCTGGGCCGGCTGCGCCCTGGGCGCGCTGCTGCTGCTGGCCAGCCTGGCGCAGGCGGCGCTGGCGGTGCTGCTGTACCGAGCGGCCGGCCAGCGCGCCGTGCCCGCCGCGCTGGGCTGCGCGGGGCTGGTGTTCCTGGTGGGCGAGGTGCTGCCCGTGGCCGTGAGCGGCCGCTGGGCGCTGGCGCTGGCGCCGCACGCCGTGGGCCTCAGCCGCCTGGCGGTGCTGCTCACCTTGCCCGTGGCGCTGCCGGTGGGGCAGCTGCTGGAGCTGGCGGCGCGGCCGGGGCGCCTGCGGGAGCGCGTGCTGGAGCTGGCGCGCGGCGGCGGCGACCCCTACAGCGACCTGAGCAAGGGCGTCCTGCGCTACCGGACCGTGGAGGACGTGCTCACGCCCCTCGAAGACTGCTTTATGCTGGACTCGGGCGCCGTCCTGGACTTCAGCGTCCTCGCCAGTATCATGCAGAGCGGCCACACGCGCATCCCGGTGTACGAGGAGGAGCGCTCCAACATCGTGGACATCCTGTACCTCAAAGACTTGGCCTTCGTGGACCCTGAGGACTGCACGCCGCTCAGCACCATCACTCGCTTCTACAACCATCCTCTCCACTTCGTCTTCAACGACACCAAACTGGACGCCGTCCTGGAGGAGTTCAAGCGAGGTAAGGGGGATGGCGCCGGTGGAAAGGGTCTCCCTCCGCCGGAGGAGGCCCGGAGACTTGACCTTTCCCAGAAAGTGATGGCCTTGAATCTGGGAATGGCCTTTGAAAAGTATTTTAAAGGCCGTCTTTTTAGAAACAGAAGGAAGTGCTGTGTGAATCTGATGCAGGAGGATCGGAGGGTGGTTCCAGGCCAGCCTGGGTTATGTAGTTAAGACCCTATTTATTTATTTTAAAAAAAAAAAGTGAGGATGTAGCTCGGTGCTTCCCGAACATACTCGAAGTCCTCAGTCACTAAGCGATCCCCCCCCCCCCCATTGGTAGCCAGCATGTCTACTTGGCTGTAACCCAGAGGTTTCTGTGCACTTGGGCTTTTAAGCTCACGCAGATTCACGGATGGTGAGGATGTCAAAGGATAAGGAAACTGCAAGTTGTTATCGTCACCTATTTAACATTAAATTGGCTGGACCTGTGATGTTCCATGGTCATTACAGGTTGCAGGACAGGGAAGGACTCAAATACTTTTCCACAGAGAAAACTTTCATTTAATGTCATCGAAAGCAACATCGTGAATAATGGTTTAGTTTCCCTTCCTGGCTTCCCCCCCCCCCAACTTTTTTGTTGTTGTTGAGATTTTTACGTGTATGAGTGCTTGCACCTGTTATATCTGTGTACCACGTGCACGCAATTTCTGTGGAAGCCAGAAGAGGGGGTGTGTTCCTTGGGACTGGAGTTACAGACAGTTGTTAGCCATCCCGGTAGGTGCTGGGAACTGAACCCTGGGTCTTAACAGCTGAGCCATCTCTCCAGTGTCCTCCCTTTGGTTTGAATTGTGTTTAAGCCCCGGTTATTGGGCCCAGAGAATCGTGTTCCAGACGAGCTCTCCCAGTAAACCACACTCCCATTTCCCTTCTCTCTTTTTTGCCTAAGGTCTTGGGAGTCTCCCTTAACTCTGCATTTTTCACCAATTCCTTCCAGTTTTTTAATTATTTTTTGTGTGTTAGTGTTTTGCTTGCACGTATGCATGCACGCTGTGTGCATGTCTGGTGCCTGAGAAGGTAGATTCCTAGTGCCATTGGTGGCTGGAATTTGGGGAGGCAGAGGCAGACGGATCTCTGAGTTTGAGAACCGTCGGGGCTACGCAGAGGAACCCTGTTGGGGCTTAGGAGGGCGGCAAAAACAACCAGGAAGATGTGGGTTCCTCTGTCGTGCTCTGTCCTCATCCTCACGATGCTTTCCGGGATGCTGCTTTGGAGGGTAGGGGTAGATACAAACCAGGGCTCTATGTGGATTAGGCTGCATGATGAGGAGAGGCATTTGGAGCAAAACCCCCTTGAATGGGCAAGTGGAAACCTTCTGGCCCCAGGTGGACTCAGTGAGCCCCTGGATAGTCCGTCAGTGAGCGGCAGCTCTCGGGTGGCGTGTATGCCAGGCTCTGATGGGCGCTCTGCATGACCGGTCTCCCTTTGTCTTGGGAAGACCTGTGTGTAGGTCATGAATGGGAGGCTTGACTAAACAGCTGGCTGCTGTGTTGGAGGACCTCTCAAGTGTGTCCTGGCTTTTTCCTAGGACGTGGTCCTGCAGCCCTCCTTCAGGGGGGTGGGTGGCGCCCGTCTGGGCTCCTGTCACCTAAAGCAAGGCACTTCTCATGGTGTGAAGGGCCAACCAGCAGGGTCCTGTTCTTTCCCTGCCTGCTCTGAGTTCCCAGGTTGCCGGAAGACTGCTGACTGCTGAGTCTGTCTTGCTCTGTTTATCAAAGACAGAGGCTTAGGTCAGGTGTGCTCGTTAGTCTAGTGACTGTCATTCCTGAGAGAGAGTGTTGGTCCACTCCAGGTGAATTAGGCTTTAGTGTGAACCAGGAAGGATAGGTCCCTTTTCTTGAGAGTAATATAGAGACCACCATTGTCCCTCTGGTGTCTCTAACTCTATTGTTACTAACGTCTTTCAATTGTTCACTCACATCAAGGATAGTGGCACGTGCCTCACCGAAGCAAGGTCTGCTTGACCCATCAATAGGAGGGAACTGTCCCAGCTGAGGACAGAGGTGGGAAAGGGTTGTGAATTTGAGGGGTGGGCAGGGGAGGTGCTCACTGTAGTGTTCCCTTCCCACTGGATCTGCTTGCTTTACCTGCTGTCTGTGCCACAGACGTGGGACAGTGGCCGTATAAAGGTTGTCCCTGTCTGGATAGAGCTGAATTTAAGCTTTAGGAATTGGCAGTGCTAATAAGGGTGAGGTTGATGAGAGCTGTTTTTCATTTAGTTAAAATGTTTGCGAACCTTTAGTTAAAACGTTCACAGAGGTGGGGCGGGAGAGATGGCTCAGCAGTTAGGAGCACTGGCTGCCCTTTCGCAGGACCTGGATTCACTTCCCAGCTCAACAACTGTAACTCTGGTTCCAGGGGATCCGACGCCCTCACGTAGACGTATGTATTCAGGCAAAACCAGTGCACATAAAATAAAAACAAGTTGCTTTAAAAAATGTTCGCAGAGGCGAGATGAGGGGAGTGCTTGTGTATTGTGTGTGGTCATAGGGTTGATCAACAGGGCTGTGAGCGAGGAGCAGCTGTCTGGGTGCTTTTGTGTCTTGAGACAGGGTTTCACTGTGAAACCTTGACTGTGTGACCTTGAACTCAGATCTGCCTGCTAGGACTAAAGCGCCGGGTGTGTCCTGTGCCCAGATTGTCTGAGTGTCTTTTACTGATCAGCTGATGTGGGCAACAGTGGAGTGGGGGACCCAGGTAGTGTGCCACAGTGGCCTGAGGAGGTGCCCGGGGAGGCTTTAGGAGGTAGAATAGAGGATATTTGCTGCTTGGCTAGGGCTGTGGAGCCGGAGGTGGTGGTGGTGGTGGTGATGGTGGTGGTGGTGGTACAGGAGGCCTAGGTCTCTCTCTACGATAGTATTGGCTTCCTTAAGGCCTGGAGCCAAGGAGCAGGTCAGTGTTTTCTGACGTTGGAATTTGTGTCCCAAGGAGCAGATTCCTAGCAGGCAGCTGATGTGAATTGCAAACCAAAGGAAGAGCAGGTGAAGATCTGAATGCCAGTGCGGAAGTGATCGCAGTCCTGAGCTACAGGAGTGCCACAGAGAGCCTAAGCCCTGGGGGACGCAAAGCATGCAGGAGGAGAGGGCTGGAAAAGATGCCAAGAACAGGCTGGACCCCGGGAGCGAGAGGTCCCGAGTGCTAGGGAAGTAACCCAGAGCCTTGTCCATGTAGGTGGAGCATTGCCACTGAGCTTTCGCCCTGGACCTGTGGGCCTGGGGCAGAGGGGTACCTGGGAGAATGTATGTGGGTGGCCTCCATTCGCCCAGGCAGCAGTAGGTAGCAGAGGACCAGAGGGTGTTGGCTGTGTGACAGGGGACAGGTTCCGTCAGGCATTTCCAGAGGGAAATGTCACACACGGGAAGGCCACAGTATGGTTGCTCCGGATTTGGGGTGGGCGGCCTGTGGAGAACTCAGCGGGCAGGCTTCACGCATCCCGAGTGCCTGCCTCTCTGTTTAAATGGACTATTCGGGAAGCTTCCCAGTAGCGTGCCTTCCAGAAGCAGAGTACAACCTGGAGACCCAGTGGGTCCTTCCTGCCCTCCCTGACTTTGGTCCTGTGGTGAATGGGCCTGTGTGGGTCCCGCGTTGGTAACAAATTACAGTCTTCCTGATGTCACGGTTTTTAGATCAGTTCTCTCCTCTCACAAACGTCTGAGACTGTGTTGGCCTCTGATCTTTCTGGGGCTTGAGTCTCTGGTACCTTTTCTAATAACCCTTTGGGGCCCTGGTCCATGTGCTTATTTCAAGCACCATTAGTTTGGGACTTTTGTAAACTGGGGGAGAGGTGGAGGTGCCCCTTGCCCGGGATTGTTTTGTGCACAAGTCACCTGACAGAGAGTGTGTTGGAGCTCTAGACTTGTACTTTCTGTAAAGCAATCAACCCATGCTTTCTTCTCTCCCAGCCCCAGGAGACTCTTGAAGCAGAGGAAGGATTAGGAATGAGCTTTTCATTCAGCCTCGGCTTTCCCGAGCTTGAGGTCTGGTCTGCTGTCTGTTAAGCCAAGGATTGTCATAGTGCTGAGATGAGTCAGATTGGCCCAGTTGCTGGGAGGGACGTTGGCACGCGATTTTTATCAATGCGCGTGCATCGGTGATGGCTTTAGGAGACCGCAAAGGGGGCTTGAGGCGTGCCAGTGAGGGCAGTAGGGAGAAAGACCCTGCTCTCTATCCCCAGCAACACGCATGCACGCGCGTGTGCACTCACACACACTCACACTGTGTGCCATGGGCGGGTCTTCCAGCCTCCAAATAATTGGAGCACTTTAGAGCTTGCTAACTAAAATGAAAATTCTAGAGCCTTCCAGTTTGTGGTCATTTTGTCAGATCCCAGCAGTCATGGCTGCCGTGGTCCTGCGGAGCTGGCCTAGCCACATTGTGCATGTGCCCTAAGGAATATTCAGCCCTGCCCAGTGGGGGCAAAGGGCTAACCCCTCCAGCCTCCCCCCCCCCCCCCCGCCGCTGTTTTGTTGTAAAAGGCTGTCTGTCCTTCTGTCCTTCCCTCTAAGCTCTCTGGCTTTTGTTCTCATGTGGCCAGGGACGTCTCCCGTTTATTTCTGAAGCACCCTAGTGCTACAGGTCACAGGATTGTGAGTCTTTTTCAAGGAAGCTTGAGAGCACAGGAGAGGCTAATCCCTTCCAGTGAGTGGCATGCCAGAGGGACTCGGTGTTGGGACGAGGGAGTGCGTTGAGGTTCCTTTACTCTGAGTGGCCTTTTAGAACCCAAGCTTTGGGTTTGAGAATCTAAAACTTCTTTTTTCTTAGCACTGTTGACCTTCCCCGCCTGGCCTCACAAGTCTGCTTTGGGTTCCATGGCCGAGCAGCCCTTGTGGAAATGGCACCTGCCTGCTAGCTTGAGCCAGTTCCAGCTGTCACCAAGGATTGGAAGGAATTTGGAAACCTGGCACTTTGACCCAGTGCCTCTGACTCAGCAGAATGGGCCATTGTCCCGGGCACCTGGCCTTTTCCTCCTGGGAGGTTTTAATTTTCTCCTGGGCATTTAGAGGTTCCTGAAGAAAGATGTTTTATTTAGTGTATGTTTCATGATTCCAAAGGCCCAGGCGTTTCTCCAAAAGATCCTGGGAGCGAATAGCCCTCATGTGGGTCTGGACTGGTTTCTTCACATTCCCTTGCCTCAGACCTGCCTGTCTCCACCCTCTAACCCACCCATGGCTCTGCAGCCCTTGAGTGGACCCTTTTCTGGGTTTGGTACACTGCAAGTCTTAGGCACGTATACACCAGGTTTCAAGGATGTGTTACAAAATATAAAAAGAGGTGTAAAGTATATATTGTGTTTTTATGTTGGTTACACATTGAAACAATATTTTAGGTATATTGGATAACATACAGTGTTAAAATGCTACTAAAAGATTTTTAAATTACACCCATAGCTTGCACTCTGTCTTTCAAATAGATGTATAGTTTTATGGATGGGAAACACGTATGTGACCCCAAGTAAATTTCTGGTTTCCCCAACATTTGCCAACCCTATAAGAGTTGGGTTTTTTCCAAGCTCTTCAGTCCTCACTAAATTAGCCAAATAGGAAAGTAAATGAGCCCGTCCTCTGGAAGACCCCTGACAGACAGCCTTCAGAACTGGGAACCCTGCTGAGGATGCATGTCTGTCCTGTTAGCACTAGAGAGGCAATGGGGTCTCAAATCCCACACCAACCTAGACTGCATAGTGAGATCCTTCCTCAGGAAACAAAAGAGGAAAACTAAGTACGGTGCTGTACACTTGATCTCAACACTCCCGAGGGCTGAGGATATAGCTCAGGGCCGGGGTGAGCGCTTGTGTAGCAGGTGAGGCGCTAGTGTGCAGAGGAAAGGGTGTGGTGTAGCCAGGATAAGCATCTTCTGTCCTCTAGTGCAAGGGGCGGGTGCTCCCTGCAGGCTGCAAATAATGTCCCACCCCACAGGGAAGTCCCACCTGGCCATTGTGCAGAAGGTGAACAATGAAGGTGAGGGGGACCCCTTCTACGAGGTGCTGGGCTTGGTCACCCTGGAGGACGTCATTGAGGAGATCATCAGGTCTGAGATCCTGGACGAGTCCGAGGACTACCGTGAGTTTGGCTGTTGTTCTTTCTCTGACTCAGGGCCCTTCCAGCAGCCTGAGGGTCGTGTGAGTGGGTCTTAATGCTGCTGAAAACTGGCTAGAGCCACAGCCAGACCTTATCTTCCCCACTGTGGTATGGCCAGTGTCGTCCCTCCATACAGGCCACGCAGACCTTCCCACTGTTGACTTTTGTGGCCCCTGTGTGAGCGGAGAGGGCTTTGTAATAGCCCTCCGCTACTGGGCAGAGGGTCTGCCCTTGATAGACCAATGCCTTTCTGCTGCCCCTGCTGGCCCACCCAGCTCATTAATGCATTCTTTGAACTGGAGATGAAGCTCAGTAGTGGACTATTTGTGTAGCCTGAATGGGGCTGCATTTGGTCACCTAGTACCACACAGGCATGTAAATCTCTGAGTTTCTGGCCAACAGAGGATATGTAGTTGACCCTGTCTCCCCAAAAAAGGATTCTTTATGACCAGCTATTGAGCAGGTCTTCTGTAGTAGACAGTTGTGAGACCTTTGATTGTGTCTTCCTCCTCTAAAGATGACGGCCAGCTCTGAGGGGGGAGCGGGGGCAGACACAGAGCCCGTGCTTAATCGCTGGGCCCTCACATGGCTACTTGGGACCCTGTACTGCCACGCCCTTGTGTTTGGTTCTGTTCCTGAGCCGATGGACGGTCGCCAGGGTAGCTGCTGCCGTTTGCTGTGGGTGATCTTCAAGCGCTTATATCCTGAAGGATCTCCACAGCAGCATCCCCTCTGCAGGAGAGCCGGACTTCCTCTGGGCATGGCTGGAAATGGCGTGTGCACTATCGCCGCCTCTGTCCTGGGCACCGGGACTATCTCGTGCTGGTGGCCATGGCAGCCAGTCAGTGTCTTGCAGGGAGCAGAGCCAAGGATGTTTCCTTGGGGCCCTGGCGATGTCTCCCCTGAGGTCCCTGGACCTGGGGAGGAAGGAGTGGGTCAGTGCCGTTCGCTTCGTTTGTTGGTGGTTGGGTACCGATCCTGCTCATGCCATCTTTTCACTGCCTGCAGACGCCAAGGTGAGGAAGAAGACCGCTGCCCTGAGCGCCCCCCTCAGGCGGAAGGAGGAATTCTCCTTATTCAGGGTGTCTGATGATGAACATAAAGTAAAAATCTCGCCTCAGCTGCTCCTGGCCACCCAGCGCTTCCTTTCCCGAGGTGAGGGTGAAGGGTGCTCCTTGCCCCTGGTCTCACCACCCGGAGGGTCAAGAAACCAGCCAGGCCAGACACCAGCTTGGCTCCTAGTGAGCTGGAGGCTCTTGAAGAGCATCTGCTTCCCTCAGCAGAGCTGGTGGGTGTCTCCTGATCAGGCGTGTTCTGGGAGCCTCATCTGGCCCGTGTTGTGTGCCCTGCTTGGCTCTCTTGCGTGGATTGCCGCAGCCCAGGGACCCCTGGGAGAGCCCAGGAGGCAGGTGTGATGTCTGGCCATTTGGGCCCCAGTGGACACTGTCCCTTTCTCCCACCGTGGGGCAGAGGTGGATGTGTTCAGCCCATTGCGAATCTCTGAGAAAGTTTTGCTGCACCTGCTGAAGCACCCCAGCGTCAACCAGGAGGTGAAGTTTGATGAAGACGACCGCCTGGCCGCACACCATTACCTGTACCAGCGCAGCCGGCCGGTGGACTACTTCATCCTCATCCTGCAGGTAACCACGGCTGCCCGGATCTGCAGCGAGACACCCAGACAGCCGCCCTTAAGCAGCTGGGGCTGGGGTTTCTCCTCTACTCCCTTGAGAGGGGAGAGAACGCCTGTCCACCTCTGTCTCCCTCGCAGGGCAGGGTGGAGGTGGAAATCGGGAAAGAGGGCCTGAAGTTTGAGAATGGGGCCTTCACGTACTATGGAGTGTCTGCCCTGGCCGCCCCATCTTCAGGTAAGCCTCGGCCCCTTGAGATCCCAGGGTTGTGGTCATGGTTGGCAGAGCTTCCCCGGGTACTCAGGATGCTTCCGCGGGTCTGTGTGCCCAGGGTGCTGGCTTCCCAAGAGCCTGTCCCACAGGGGACTTGTCTGTAGGCAGGGTAGAGGGCAGAGAAGCAGCTCTGCCTCGTTTGTCTTGGTAACCCTCCCGGTCTGTGCAAACGTTCCAAGGGGGTTTCTTCGTGGTTGTCCCATTGCCTTCCCCCGTCTTTAATTATTTCGTCCGTAGCTCACCAGTCCCCAGTGTCTTCACGCCAGCTCATCCGCCATGACCCGCAGCCCGAACCAGCTGAGAGTAGCCGCCTCTCCACGTACTGTCCTGACTACACCGTGAGGGCCCTTTCCGACCTGCAGCTCATTAAGGTGACTGTTTGGTGCTGTTTTCGCTGGCTTTGTGTTCCCAGGGGGCTAGTCCAGGTGGTCACTGCGAGGGTGGACTCGGCACAAGATGACAGACAGGCTCACACCCCGAATGGTGGGACCTCCCCCTCTCCCTGGACTGTTGGGGTCTCGGCCTTGTACCTGGACTCTCCATTGTAGATCTTAAAGTCACTTGGCCCTAAAACAAAACCACGGGGCTCCAAGGCTTTCAGCCCTTCACTAGTTCGGAGGCCATGCCTGTCTAGTGCAGGCCAGAGGTGGGAACTGTGTGTGTGTCTCCCAGATTGCACCTGCTGGCTAGCTGCGTTCTCTCCTCCTGCAGGTCACACGGCTGCAGTACCTTAATGCAGTCCTGGCTTCCCGAGCCCAGAGCTTGCCTCCGTCCCCAGAGAACGCTGAGCTTCAGGCTATCCCAGGCAGCCAGACCAGGCTTCTTGGCGACAAGCCCACTGAGACAGCAGGTGAGCCCCCCAGGGCACACCCTGCAGGGTTGGGGCCCGGGGGTCACGGGAAGTCTGCCACTGGGCTTCTTCCGTTCTCTGCTCCCCGTCTCGTGTCTCCCGTTTCTCTGCCCCGACTTTCCCCTCTTGCCGTTTGTACTAGCTTGGATTACACGATCAAGTGGCCCTCGGGATAGAGCAGCAGACCCCTCTTCTCCCCGTGGCCTCTTCGAGATGGCTTAATTAGTTCTGGATAAGTGGGGAAAGGTTCAGCTGAGAAACTCTCGGGTCACTCAGACAATAGAGATCTGGCTTTTCCGTGGCCCTGGCTCAGGGAACGCTTGCTGTGGAGTTGGGTCAGCGCTTTGATAGTGAAGTTCTTTAGGAAAAAGTGCTTGGGCTGGGGACAGTCACAAAACACATTTCTACGGTAGAAACTGCTTTTTTAATCAAGAGGTGACACGGGGTACAAAGGACAGAAACCCTACACCCTGAGCCACAAGATGGCTCAGCTCCTATGGGCTCTGGCTCTAGGTATTCCTTGTAGGCCTCGTGGCCGTGGGTCACCTTCCATTCTAAAGGAATGTCCGTTTCAGAAAGGCGTGTTTCACTGTGTTCAAATGGTGGTCACAGGGTTCACTGTGGCATTTTGTGAAATACCCCAGAACAGAAATTCAGTCACCTTAGCCTTACCAAGACCTGTTTTTAAAACGTGAATGTTTTCTGGCTCCAGCCACTCACTCACTGCACCCTGGATTTGGGGTACAGACATGAGCTGGCAATGGTCGTTGTCGGTTAAATGTGTCTTCCACCAGGGATTTCTCTCCCCTTCCTCCTTTCCGGTCCTTTCTCTGCTTTTCTTTCCTTTCTTTCCATATGTTGTGGGGTTGTGGGGTTGAACTTGAAACCTTGCACACACTAGGCAAGCATTCCACCATTTGAGCTGTACCTCTAGTCTATAGAGAATTGTTTTTAATGCTTTGTCATGTATACAGTCTTATGTCTGCTGGCCAGAATAGGGCACCGGATCTCATTACAGATGGTTGTGAGCTGCCATGTGGTTGCTGGGAATTGAACTCAGGAAGAACAGTCAGTGCTCTTAGCCCCTGAGCCATCTGTCCAGCCCCTACCCTAGTCTGTATAGGGAGTTTTTAGTCCTTTTGGCTTCGCCCACTCTTTGGGCCATCTTCTAAAAAGAATAAGTTACAGTGACTTGTGGGTCATTCCTTCCTCATAATGGTTTATCCACCCTCCGTTAGCCAGTTTTCACCCCCAGTGGGGTCGTCCTGTGTTTGTCCCTGTCCCTGAAGAGCTTAGTATCCCTGCACAGTGCTGGCTTCAGTGAGACGCTGTTTAAACCAGTGCAGAGAGACCCAGTGCCTGTGGATGTGCGCATTAAGTCCCTGGCAGAACAGTGCTTTTGTTGGAATGTTTGGAAGGTAAAAGAATTTTAAATTGCCTATATCAGCAATTGGGCCAGGTGGTAGCAGCGCAGCCTTTAATCCCAGCACTCGGGAAGCAGAGGCAGGTGGATCTCTGAGTTCAAGGCCAGCCTGGTCTACATAGTGAGTTCCAGGACACCCAGGGCTACACAGAGAAACCCTGTCTCAAAAATCCAAAAACCCCACTACATCAGGGATCATCAGACTTTGGTGTGGGAGCCTGACTTGGCCAAGTTCCAGAGTTTATAAATGAGGTTTTATTGGAGTCCACCCATCTGTTGCCGGCTGTCTGGCTGCCTCTGCGTGGCAATGGCGACCTAGCAGGTGACTTGCAAATGTAAACTCAAAGTTTTCTGCTCCTGGGGCCCCTCCCCTTTGCAGCCCTGTGACTGGTGAGTCCCCTCTGCGGTCCCCAGCAAGCACCCTCCCCCCCCCAGCTATGGTGTGTCCGTGGTGCTGAGGCTGAGGCGCCGCCCGGCCGCTCGCTCGCTCGCTAGCGCCCTCGGCCGCTCACTAGTGCGTGTTCTCTCTTCTCTCCACTCTTCAGCCTCCCCAGTAGATCTTCCCCTCTTTGGCACATTTGGAAACTGCAGTTGATAAATGACTGTGGACTAGTGAGCATTTTTTGTTTTAAGAAAACACCAAGGTAAATATCTGTTTCCTTTTCTTTTGTTTTTCCCATCCTACAGACAGCTTCCCCCAGGCGGGAGTGCATTTCTGTTGGTGGGGGGAGTTGGGAGGGGTACTGTATTTTATGTTTCTAGTATTTACTCTTTCCTAGAAGACAAGGGGTCATGACACACCCGCTTAGTTCTGGAACATAAGGCTCCCTTGCAGCACAGGGACCCTTGGTCATCCAGGGAAGTTTCTTTTTGCCCAGCACGGCTGCCTGAGCCTCCTGGAGTCAGAGAGATGTAGCACCCTTAGGTGCCATGGCTCACACCTATAATCTCAGCACTGCAGAGGGTGAGGCAGGAAAGTGCCTTGAGTTTGAGGTTACTCCACACTGCATGGTGGGTTCAAAGCCAACCAGCAAGACTGTGTCTCAAAACAAAATAAGGGCTGGCTGTATGGGGAAAGGTGCTTGCCGCCAGGCCTGACGGCCCAAGTTCAGTCCCCAGGACCTGCGTGGCAGATGGTAAGAACTGAGTGTCACAGGTTGTCCTCTGACGTCCATGCACATCATGACACCTGCATACCCTCACACATTTATACATACACACCAAAAGAAATGTAGGGAAACGAATTCACTCTGAAAAGTGGAATAAGTAAGTTTAAAAGCTAGCTGTGGTGGGAGCCTAGCTCTTGGGAGGTAGAGGTAGAAGAGTCAGCCTGGGCTTCATAAGACCCTGTCCTGTCTCAACCCCTGCTGCCCCAGGGGAGTGGGAGGCCACTTACAAAACCAGTGACAGAGTCTGTAGTCCATCGTTGTTCTTCATGGGCGGCATGCATCTGCCCAGTGGATGTCTCTCCAGGCCTACTCACCATGCCCTTTAACGGCCCGTCTGTCCAAGCTGCTTGCTTCTCTGCCCTAAAGGTTCAATACTTGGTTTTGCTAGAGCCTTCTCCCTTGACTAGTGTAAATACCATTCTCTCTTTTCCCCCCTCTCCTTAGGGTCCAGCAACAGCAGACCTGGCATCCCAGTGGAGGAGAGCCCTGGGCAGAACCCAGGAGTGTAACTACTTGCCCCGAGCTGGAAATGGTCAAGCGTGTGGGGAGCGGGGAGCCAAGCAGGAGCTTAGCTCCCATGCCAGCCCATCCCCCACCTCTTCTGGCCACGTTTTAGATGGCCATTATAAGATGTGGGTCCCTGGCCTCCTGAGTGCTGGAGCCTTCAGCTGGCCCTGCCTTCCCTTGGGAGATAGGATTGGCAGGGCAATCCTCCAGTAGAAGCCTGTTTCTGGGGGGGATGAACAGCGTCATCGCTAGTCTCAGGTCCCAGCTTCCCCCGATGCTGTAACAGCACAGTGTCTGTACCTCCTGAACCAGGTGCCATGTGGGTGGGTGCAGTCACTGCCTTCACCTGGCCTTGGCCTGTCTCACTTTGCTTTTGATTGGCCAACCCTCTGTTGCTGGCATCGCCTTATGAGCAAACCAAGACTGCCGGCTTTAGATGGAGGTTCAAGTCCATGGCCCGCCGTGCTCTCTTGGCTTCCCTTCCAATGCCGTATTTTCATTCATGCACTCCAGTGTTGTGTTCCGTTTTTTTCCCATGTGCCAATCTAAAAGCGCGGTTCCCCACTAACTCTGCCCTGTTCTGCTCCCCCCGTGGAGGTAGTTTCTGTGACTCCTGAAGTCATGAGCAGGCTGGCCCAGTGACACGGAAAGCCTGCCCAGATGGCCTGGCGCCAGCTTGCATCTCTCCCACCTGTGCATAGTGCCACTAATGGTATTGTCAGTGTCTGTTTGAGGTCGCGGTTGGAAGGCCAAAAGCCAGTGTTGAGTGCCTGCCTTGTACGTTGTCTGGGCCCCCGGGGAGACGTGCTGCTATGCCGTGTAGAGAGCTGCACAGGGAGGATTGTTTGTAAACCCGGTACCTTCTTGTCACCTGCTGAGACGTTAAGGTTTTCTTGGATCTGAAGTATTTCGGTTTCTGTGCCCTTTCTGTCTCCAGTGACGATGTTCTAGAGGTGCAGGGTTGGGGAAACGCTGGTTTTCTCTTCTAGTTTACTACATTTTTCCTTCCACAGTTTCTGCTCTGGGACCATAGATTGGGGTGGAAAGGGAGGATTTCTGGAACTTTCCTAAAAGAATGTGGGTCCTGGTAAGTGAGACTTACAGGTCAAGAGAACAATGTCATGCTTGCTGAGAAATATTCTCAAGGAATATGCTGTAAGAACAAACTCAGGTTGGAAGCAAATCATTTCTCTCCAGAACAGAATTCTGAATTTTGGCTGCACCTCAGAATCACCTGGCAAATTAGAACCTTAAATACTTAGGCTCTTCTGGAGCTTCTGATTTAGTGACTTTGAACACCAGGTTTATGGTCTTGACATACTTTGATTCATAGAAGAGTTTCATGTACCCTTTACTCAGCATCCCCTAATGTTAACATGTTAAATAACCTTGTTACATTTATCAGAATTAAAATGTTAACATTGGTGCCATACTGTCTAACTGGAGGCTTGATTTGGATTTTTTTTTTTTTCCTGGTAATGTCAAGGTAGGATGCCAAAATGCACTTAGAGCTATTTTCCTTTTTACCTGTCTTTGATTTTATAGTAGTTGCAGGTTCATAGAAGTTACAAAGATGCAGAGTTTGTGAATCCTTTACCTGGTTGTCCTCAGTGGTCCTATCTCACAAACCTTAGTCTCAGAGCCTGGAGTGGTGCAGGTGGTACCTGACCCCTGTGTAGACCCGAGTGACTGCTCCCCAAGTCTAACCCAGTGCCCTGTCACTACCAGGGTCCCCCGGACTGCCACTCAGAACCACCTGCCTCATGCCTAAGCCCCGCAACCGCTAGACCGTCCCTTACCTAAGAATGTGGGAGGGGTCGTGCGGGGTGTGGCCATCTCCACCCAGCATGGTTCTCTGGGGATTGATCCAGGTTTGTTCCCTTTTCTTGCCAAGTGGTATTCCATGGTGTATCCATTGTCCTGTCAAAGGGCATCTGGGTTGTTTCCAGTTTTTGGCCGTTTCCAAATAAAGCTGCCATGAACGTTCATGTACGGATTTCAGTGTGAAGATTGGTGTGGATTCTGGGGGATGTGCCAGGAGCACAGTTGCTAGGTTGTTTACCTTTTAAAGAGAAACTGCCAGGCCTTTCGGAGTAGCTGTGTACAGCTTCAGTTCCTACATGAAGTGTAGGAGTGACCCAGGTTCTCGTTTCCTCCAGATGCTCGTCGTTGTTACTTCAGCTGTTTAGGTAGGTGACCATCAGAACCAGCTGTGGCTCTCATGTTTCCACCCACTACGGGCGCATGTTTTGTTTTCTTGTGAAGTGTCTGTTCTCCCCCCTCCCCCCTTTTCTCCCCCCTGTTTAAGATGATCTCGTTTATTCAGATTCTAAAAGCTCTCGGAGTTTTGGTTTGTAGAAATTTGTCTGTAGTGCTGTAGTCTAATCTGAAATGTGCCCCTAAGGCCTGTGTGAGTCCTCCTGAGGTCACTGGGCCTTGGCCTCTTCCTCTCCTTTGCTCTGATGAGCATGATGTGAAGAGGCCTCTGCCATGTGTCCCCTTCTTGTAATGTACTTGGTCCAAACGACCAAGCAGCCACAGGTTCCGTGTTCCCAGTAACGGAATCCTAACAGAGTGGTTGTGTTCTCACAGCAGGGTCTTACATGGGACAAAGGCCTATGATTAAATTCATTTCACCAAACTTACTTCTGTGCTTTTAGCATATCTGTTGTAGGTGGCAAAAGTTGTCTAACTTTTTTCTAATATCCTATGTTTTACAGTGAGCTTGTGATGCATTTTTAATGCTTCTATTAATAAGGCTTGAGTCACAGCTGTTTTAATTCATGCATATCAGTGTTTTGTCTGCATATATGTACACATCACATACATGCTTAGTGCCTGCAGTATGCAAAAGGCATTGGATCCTGCGTGGAACTGAAATTACAGTTGTGATGCGCCATGTGGGTGCTGGGAATTGAACCCAGGTCCTTTGGAAGAGCAGCCAGTGCTGGCGCTCTTCATTGCCCAGAGAGCTGGTTTTTGGGATTGTTGTTTAGGCTCAGGCTGGCCTCAAACTCATATCCCTGCTTTCTCTGGCTTCTTTCCCCCTTCCTTGTTTAGCCTAAGGATGTGCATTTGTTGAAAAGGCAGGCATCTCTACCTCTGTTGGGTATATTTGTGTGTGTGTGGGGGGCTGTTTGAGTTGTCTACTATATCACATTAGTCTATCCACTACACTCTAGATCACTCAAGTTGAACCCCCACCCCCCACCCCTTAATTTTCTCACAGCATCCCAGGCTGGGTGTGATTGTGCACATCTTTAATTCTAGCACTCAGAGGCACGTGGATCTTTTGAGTTCAAGGCCAGCCTGTTCCAGGACAAAAACTGTGTCTGTCCCCTACCTCAGCCGGATTTACAAGTGTGTAATGTGCTTGCCTTCTATTTCTTTTTGTTGTGGTGGTTTTGCTTTTTGTATATAGTCTTACTGTGTACTCTGTGCTGCTCTTAAACTTAATGATTCTGCTTCAGCTTCCGGGCTGCCACCTGAGTCAGCACACCTTTTTTTTTTTGTAAGAGAGTCTAAACACAGCCAGGCCGAGGTGGTGCATGCCTTCTTTAATCCCAGCACTCTGGGTAGCAGTGGCAAGCGGATGGTGGATGGATCTCTGTGAGTTTGAGACCAGCCTGGTCTATAAGAGCTAGTTCCAAGACAGCCTCCAAACGCACAGAGAAAACCTGTCTTTAAAAAAAAAAAGTCTATAAACACTATGTTCAACTTAACCTGCAATGCAAAGTCCTCCTGAGGCCTCCCATGTGCTGCGATTGTTTGGGGTATACATTTGCTTACAGAGTATAGATAATTTTGTCTACACCTTGCTTGGATTCTGGGAGGAGCTTATTAAGCCTGCATGTTGTCAACTGGGGAAGAGCTGATGTCTTTTACATGTTGTGCCTTCTTTTTTTTTTTTCGAGACAGGGTTTCTCTGTGGCTTTGGAGCCTGACCTGGAACTCGCTCTGTAGACCAGGTTGGCCTCGAGCTGGGCCTGAAGGTGTATACCACCACTCATGTTGTGCCTTCTGACCCATGAATATAGTATGTATATAAATAGTTCATCTATAGACTTGAGCGTCTTAGTCTTAAGCAGTTGTAGTAGTACCGTATTTTTTGTTTCCATAATGTTCACAGGTATAGGGAGAAATAGTTCTTATTTATATTGTATCCTGAGTTCTTGGATTATTAGTATTAAGGTAGGTATTTATCTCTCACCAACTGCCTATAATGCCTTACAATTTGCTAGTATGCATAGACAACCATGTCCTCAACTAATATGTGGATCTTACTTCAGGGCTTGTGACCTAGTAACATCAGGACTCTTGAGAACAGGCTTTTTGCTGTGTAGTGCCCTGGCTGGTCTGGAACTCAAGGTGTTAGTCAGGCTGGCCTTGAACTCTGAGATGGGTCTGACATTAAAGGTGTGTGCCACCATACCCAGCAGACATCAGGACTTTTACAAAACTGTCCTTTTCTGAACTTGTCTGTCAATGAGCAGAGGTCTTGAACTCATGAGCCATGTGCCAGAACCACCCCCAACACACACACACACACACACACACACACACACATAAAACATGCGGTCAGCTGACATGGTAGATGGACTTGACCTTTGCAGTCGAGGGAGACAAGGCTTTTGGGTTGTTTTTTTGCCGTGTAGCCCAATCTGCTGCCTCCTCCCGGTCCCCATACGACACGAGGCTGTGGTGGATAATCTGTTTAATGAGGAAACAGTGTGGATCAAGGGTCCTCATTTCAGGAGTCATACTGAGCTGTCTTGAATGTCTTGCCCCTCGGCACCCTTCTAGGTGTGCGCTGGCTGTCACCACAGGGCGGGGCCTGCCCATTAAGAGGTATGTGCCCCTAGGAGGAAGACTAGCCAGGTTTTTCACATAGTAACAACAGGCAGAGAGGCTGCCAAAATTAGACTAAAAATAACTGTTGCAAAAAGAATGTCAGTTCAGGACTATGAGAGGGAGGCGAAGCCTTCACCTTTTGGCCCTTTGTTCAGCCTGTGTCCTCAACGGAGGGCTCATCTCTTCAATGTCAACTTCCTGGCATATAAGGAGCCAGCCCTGCCAGGAGTTCGTCTACACCAGTGAAGCTGACCGTCTACATCAGGGAAGTCCTCATTACACCACCAGGGGGCACGGGCTTGGAGAGGGGTGTGTGTTATTGCCATTGTGTCCTGCAGTAAGGGCTGAACTTCAGGGCATTAGAGCCTTGCTAAGCTAGGGCTGCGGGCCGCCACCCCAAAAGTTGAGGGGGCCACAAGCAGTCCCCAGACCTGGCACTCTGTCCTCACACAAGGCAAGCAGGGCTGCCTGAAGCCCTTAGCTGGCGTTCCCCCAGAGTACACACTAGTTCATGAGTCTCCAGCTCCTGGCGCCCCTCAGCCTGCCAGAACCCCCTCCCCGGTTCTGAAGACGAGAGAAGCCGAGAACTACTCCAGACCCTCTCAGGATTGCTGCTGATAGGGAGTCCCTGGAGAAAGTCCATCCAAAGGACGGCTGTGAGCTGCGCCAACGCCTGGCACTCAGGTAGCCTGTTTCCTTTCATACCCAGGATGCAGCAGCTGGTCACATCTGGATCTCTACTTAGATCAGGAGGCTGGCTCTGGCCTGTTCTGTGGGGGTGGGTAGAGAAGAGGCCTATGCTCAGCTGTGGGGAGTGCTGCTCTGTCCGCTTCCTGTTCGGGCCTTGGCCCCGTCGGGCCCCACTTTGCTTTCTTGTTGCCCTGTGGTCCTGGGCTCGAGTCCTGGCAGGGACCACAGTCTCCCTAACTCAGGGGACCGGCTCTACCTCTTGTTGCCTTAAGCCCAAGGAAGCAAAGCCACACAGAGACTGGGACAGAGAACCACGCGGGGGTGGGGGTGGAATGGTGGCTGAGTGACCCACAGGCCTTCGTCCTCAGCCCTCAGCACCGGGTGCGGGGGTGCCCCACGTGGGCCTGCAGCGCTTCCCGGACACCCCGCTGCCAGTCCCGTGCCAGCTGCGCTGGGGTCAGGGAGGCCTGTGAACAAAGGGCACGGGGTCAGTCTCCCTCTGCTAGGCAGGCCCCTGGCCTCAGCACAGGTGTCCGACATTGCCTGGCTGGCACTCACCACGTTCTTGATGCCCAGCTGGGCTCCATAGAGCAGCAGTAGCTTCGTGGCTTTGTGGTGCCCGTACCGCACAGCCTCGTGGAGCGCTGTGTCCCCTTCCTGTGGAGAGAGCAGCCAGTCACTGCTTCGGGCCCAGGGCAGGGTGGGCTGGCGGGCACAGACGGCCGGCGTCTCAGGCTGCGCAGGGAGACACCCACCTTATCCTGTGCGTTGATGTGGGCGCCGCACTCAATGAGGTGCTCCAGGCAGGCGGAGTGGCCTGTGCGCACCGCTACGTGGAGAGGGGTGCTCCAGATCTAGGAAGGAGTGGGGTGCAGGGCTGATCCGGGATGGCCATGCCACCCAGTCCAAAAGCCACCCAGTCCAAAAGACCTGTGCCTGACAAGGTGAACAAATGTTTCCTGTCTGCCCCAAACAGGTTGCCACCCAAAGCAGATACTGTAAAGACTCAGGCATGTTGCTGGCCTGCCTGTCACCTGGCAGAATGCACTCAGGCTGTCCCCTGGTCAGCCCAGGGTTCCATGAGTCCTAGTTTGCAGGCAGGTGTGAAGGACCCTTTAAAAGTCAGACCCCGCCCACTTACACGCTCTCTCTCTTCCCCCTCTTCTCCCCCCTCCTCTCCTGTTCCCGGTGCCTCTATGTCCCTTCCCTTCTCCCTCACTCCCCTTTCTAAATAAACCCATTCAAGCTCTGTCTGCCTGGCCTGTTATTCCCTCACCTGCTGTGGAACCTGCTGTGCTCTTACCCAGCTTTTCCTGTAACTGTAGCTGAAGAACAGCAGATACCGGCCCCCCTTACCTTGTCCTGTGCATTGACCTGAGCTCCCTGGTTAAGCAACAGTTTGAGGATGTCCAGGTGTCCACCACGGCAGGCCCAGAACACAGGTGTC